TCAGGCCGCACAAATTTCTTGTTAGATAGGCCATTCCAACAGAGAACCCCTGCCTGAAAAAATTAGCACTGTGAATAAGAATTTCTTGTTAGACTACACAACATGCCCAAAATAAGTGCTATCTCTTCCCAAAGTCACTAAACTAATTTTAGCATTTGAGATAGCTTTTCACAAGGAATTTTTCTGGGCTTTCTCATGCATCTCGCCACGTCACTAAACGCAAAGTATATGCAAATGAGACACACTTAGTGGACCTAGATAACTATTGCAATTAAAGATTTCTATCTCTTTATAGTATGGTTATCTATCATAAACCCGATCACGCACTCTATTACGTCTTGACCAGCAAAACAAAATGGCCTTATGTTTTATACCTTTGCCTTGAGCCCATTTTGTTTTTTCTCTTTCTTCTTTTCCAAGTTGAAGCACTTATCACCATCTTTTGGCATCTCCATCACCATGAGTGCCATCTAGCTCCACCTTGGTGTGAACCAACCTTACTTCAATCACAACACTTAGAGAGAAGGTTAGTCCATAATGGTTTTATCAATTAGCCAAAATCAAACTAGGGCTTTCAGTGGGCTAAAGTTTAGCCCCCCACTTTTAGCCATCCTGTTTCGATCCATGAGAGTTAAAAGGTGACTAAAAGAGGTGGGCTAAACTTTAGCCCCATGGATCCAAACAGGGCATAACTTTTTTTTTTTGAATATAAACATATCGCTTCACCCATATGCCTAAGGTTTTGACTATTTTAACACACAAAAGAGTTTTGCGACCTAGATTTTAACCTTACTTTAGAGCGTTAGGAAGACTTAATTCTATTCACGAGATATCTAAGTGTCGATACTTTTCACTAGTCCTCGTTGAAGCACCTAGATCATTTTTTCTCGAGTAGAACAATATTCCTGGTTCACTGGTTATTGTTCCGTGTATAGGACAAAAATATTTACATTTACTTGAAATTGTCACAAAGAAAAAAACTATTTCTAATTCAAGAGAAAAGTTTTATAGCTTTACGAGAAAAAAAGTTCAGGTTCTTGCAATTGCTCTAGGTTTATAGTGTAAATGGTTTCTAGCTTCAGAATTGTTCAACCGTAATAAAATGTGTAGAATTGTTCCATTTACTTATTTACAATATATTAAGTAAATATTATTATTGTTCTCTTGTTTGGAACCAGTATCCCACCAGCTATTGGAAGTGTCCCATGGAGAGAATAAACGGAATCAAGAAGATAAATAAAAGATAAAAAAGATAGAGAAATAAATAAATAAGAAAACAATTTTGATAAAAAAAACGTGAAAAGGAACGGCCCAAGAGAAGGCCCGTGCGGGTACGCTCCCCTGGGCCCAAGAACCCCGGACCGGGCTGTACGTCGCATGCCCCCATCACGGTTCACCCCGCGTGCGCTCTCTCTGCCTCTCTCTCTCTCCCTCCCACCCCTCTCTCTTCTCCGACGACTGGGCGGGCTACCGCTGCCGACGGCGCCTACGCCGCCGCCCTACGCCTGGTGCCGAGGCCTTCGTCGGTATCTTCGCCGGCGACGAGCACCCACCAGGTATTCCCACCCCTTCTCTCTCCCTTCCTGCTGTGCGAAACCGAGCACCCAAACCCTAACTTAAATCTATTTGGCTATTTGATGTCTACTAGCTTCGAAATTTTTGCAAAAATTATCGGTTTTTCATGTCCCTTTACTGGGTCTGCCCTTGTGCTAGTACTAACAGTAAGCGCTACTAGCCGCTACTGTTTACAGTATTTCCTTCAATGAACACGTGAAGAATAAATTGAGAAATAACATGGGGGATCAACACTTGAACAATTGCTTTTTCCCATTTGTTGAGGGACAGTTCCTTTGCAAGCAAAGGATAGTGATAATAATCAGCCTTCCAAGCAATGGATCATGATGTTAAAATTAAATTGTAATTTCATTGGATATTTTGTTATTCCCATTATTTCACGCATGCCTGAACAATTTCAATCATTATCGATATTGTGAACTTCTTTTTCTTTTGAACTGAGCATTTTGTTTTGGCTTTGGAAATTGGGACACCGAATTGAGAGATCCTGGCTCCACCACTGGCACCTGCATCATGGAGACATGTCTGCAATTGTTCTATGTTTTATTGGATTGATGTTTGGATTTGTAGCACCTGAGTTCATTAGGTCTTTTCTTGAATTCAGTGTCTAAGATAATATCTCGATTCTTGAACAGTATTCTGAACTTCTTCAACTATCTGTTTTCCTGGGTGTTCTACTCTTTTACTTTGGGTATCCTATTTTCACAACATCCTGCTGCCTTGTTTTTGAGTGTGGGTCTGGGGTTCATGTCGGGGTGGTACTTTCAGAACATTCTTTTTGCCTGTTGAACTTCTGCTGTTCACTGAGTAAAGGTGAAAGCACAGCTGGGCTCGTAGTTGTAGGGGCTCAGGAGACGGTGAAAGAAGCAGACCACGTGACAACTTAACAGAGTGCTAGACGGAGCTATTGGCATCGGATACAGGTGCTATTTAGCAATGGGAAGAAAAATAATGATAGGTGGGTAAACCCAGCCAAGGGGGGGGGGGTATGCATGCTATTTGGCCTTTTTTCTTATCTGAGAGTGAACTGTTCTCAAACAGTCATATGATTGCTTTGTCAATTAGTTGATAGAATTGTGATAGATGGGATATAATTTCTCAGTTGCAAAGCAGTTTCTGGGCACGACGAGAGAGCTGTGCTCACAACTGTGATTGGGCTTCAATTCCTCTTTTTTTACTAACATATATCCATGTCTATAGCTTCATTCCTAACTTGAAAGGTTCTTTTTCAACACTGGATTTCATCTTGTGAGGTTGACCTGTAGAGATTGATTCCTTCATGGAACAATCCATGTTCAAACGAAGGTGTCCCATGTGTATCCATAGCCTTCCCTGTTTTGAGAATATCATATTTCTTCGTAGTATGTGCGCCCTTTATGATCCGTCACCTGTTCCTGGATAAGTAGGTTTTCTACGAACCAAATACAATCAACCTAGAATCAGCAGCTGAGAGTGGTGCACCCTGCTTTTGTCCTCTGCCCATGTTGTCACCTTATGAGCAGCCAAATTTCATGCTTCTTCCAGATCCTTCATGTCTCCTGAGTCCTGATTGAGCTTGTGAAGGTAGATATTGCCTAGTAGGGTTGATAGTAGTACACTGGAGACCATAAGAAAAGGTAGACTGAAGCTATAACAGAGGTATACCATGGCAGATAATTTACAGTTTTCTTACTATTACAGTCTTCAAAACAAAGAACCAGTCAATGTTCAAGTGGAGCGAATGTTCGCAATTCAATATGCTTCGCCCTGTGGTGCTGTATGGTACTTCAGCTGGATTTTACACCAACTCTGTTCACTGATAGCGTTACTGGCTCTTTTCCGACATTTCTTGAAAGCAGATCGCACTCACTGCTTCGTGCCTAGTTAGGCTTTGAAATACTAGGAACAAAGATCTTCCGGAATCAATGTTGTACTCAATCCTCCCTGGCTGGAGAGGGGGATCGTATTAAGCAGAGTATTCAGAGGCTAAGGTTAGTGGAAGCGTTGAAGAGAGATAGAAGGCATGGGGTCCTTTCATCTTTGTTGAGACTTTCACAATATACCAGTGGATAGTGCCATCCAAGGAGTAGGCCCATGAAAGGTCTGGCAACAAAACATCTTGGTTCATAGGAACCAACGACCTCACCACTGCAAAGCGGAAGTCGAATGATTTGGATTCAGACAGGCTGTCTCGACAATAAGAAATCAAGAAGCCGAAGCAATCCAATCTGTTCGGGGCTTTGGGGAAACCAAAAACGTACTCTGTTTGCGTTTTTCATAGATGGATGATGTATATAGGAATGATATATATATTCCTTTACTTTGGATGTATATGTATCTTTTCTTAATCATCTCCCAGTTCTCTCTTTTTTAGTCCACACTGTCCTGTCTCTCTAAATTTCATCAAAGACAAACACTCACTCCTACTCCCTCCGTCCCTAATTAACTGTCGCTTTTGGTTTTGGTGCCGCAAGTTTAACTGTATTTGTAGAAAATACGCGCAACATTTGTATCTCCAAATAAAATTATTATGAAAATAGATTCGATGATCTATCTAATGATATTCGTTTTGTACCATAAATATTAATATTTTTTTATATATACTTAGTCAAAGTTTTTTCTCGGGAAGCGAAAACGATAGTTCTTTTGGGACAGAGGGAGTACTTGTTTATAGAAAGGTCTTTGTCAAGGACTTCACCTTAGACTGATGGAATAAAGCTAAGAAGTAGGCTGAATGGAAAAGGGAAGGTACAAGGGCTGTCATTGCTTGCAAGGGGATTGAACTTCCAAGAAGAACAAGCGATGAGCGCTTTATTGATCAAGTGCATATGTTTTCTTGCTCCTTTCTATACACAAATTCCTGACTGAACTTCAGTCCACAGTTTGATTTATCTTTCTGATGTCGGGGTTAACACATTCACCTTACATGTCTGAAGCACATGGATCTCATTCATTGAGGTAACATTGCTGCACAAAGGTGCTCCACAGATGCTTTTTTATTTCTCTTTTGTTCTATGGACGTGGAGAAACATGAGGGGAAAGTGTTATTTTTTTCAATTTTTAGGGTATTAGGTCTAGAAGACTAGGGCTGTGTTTGGGACCGCTTTTAATCGGATTATCGAGCGCTGGCCGCGAGAATCGTGCCAAATAGAGCATGGCTCAGGCAACAGCACACAAGGCATGCGCCGCGAGTTTTGAACTGGCCACTCAATTCTGATACTGTGGCTGCGGTATGGCATGGCTGCCGCACTGCTACTGCAGATCCAAACACGGCCTAGGACTGTAGAAAATCAATTTTCTAAAAAAAGATTAGTCCCGTTCTTTTAAGCATGTCATGTTCAATAACTGTTTAACAGCTTTGCATTTTAGTAGTCAGTCATCAATCGTCTATGGCATCTTCCTTTCTTAATTCATGATGTTGATAACACAGGGCTATGTAAAGGGGGATGTCTCCTACAAAGAGAAGAGGAGGTGGTCGCCGTGGTCATGGTCGTGGAAGAGCTGCTGTGGCAGAAAAAGATATGGATCATCTCGAAACCTCTGCACCTTCTTCACCAAGTACCTCTGACAGGGAAGATCAGCTTGTGTTGATTCCAAGACAATCCCCAGCTTGCTATGTAGGACCATCAGAAGTATCCTCCACGTTACTCAACCCTAAGATAAACCATCGTTCCGATGCGATTTTTGGTGATCAGGTTTGTTTAATGACATTGGTTTTTTCCATAGTTCATCATAAGTTTCATGATACATTTCCACTGAATCTGAACGTTGCAGGCAGTGGAGCAGTTGAAGTTACGTCATCACAAGCCTTTGAAATTTCATGAGAGATATCGGCCTTATCTGAGAGATGCAGGTTTGCTTGGGCTTGCACAAATTTGCCAGAAGATGCCTCAGTTGGACAAAGCATTGATTACTGCCCTTGTTGAGCGTTGGAGGCCAGAGACCCATAGCTTCCACTTGGCCTCCGGGGAGATAACTGTTACACTTCAAGATGTCGCAATGTTGTTTGCTCTTCCTATTGATGGCCGTCCTGTTTGTTCTACCACTGATCATGATTATGCGCAAGTGGTCCTTGATTGTTTAGGCCAGGATGCAAGGGGGCCAGCAATGCCTGGAAAGTCCTTCCTGCATTACAAATGGCTTAAGAAAAACTTTTATGAATTACCAGAGGAGGCGGATGATATGACAGTTGAAAGGCATGTTCGAGCATATATACTGAGCCTTTTATGCGGGGTGCTCTTTCCAGATGGGACAGGAAGGATGAGTCTGATATATCTTCCTCTGATTGCTGATCTTTCACGTGTTAGCACATACAGCTGGGGTTCTGCAGTTCTAGCATTCCTGTACCGATCTCTTTGCTCGGTTGCCTCCTCCCACAATATCAAGAATATTGGCGGTTCATTGCTTCTCTTGCAGCTTTGGAGTTGGGAGCGCTTTCATGTTGGCAGACCATTGGTTCGGTCTCCTTTATGCACAGAGATAGGCATTGAACAGGACTTACCTCCAATCGGCTTCCGTTGGGTGGGGGCACGCACACAAAGTGAGAATGCTACTCGCTGCCTTAAGCAGTACAGAGATGAACTGAACCTTCAGCGAGTTGATCAGGTGAAGTGGGAACCCTACCTGCAGATAGAGCCCTCAACCTTACCCCCACTTTGTACAAGAGACGCGGACCTGTGGCTTACACAAGCTCCATTAATAAACTTCCCTATAGTTGAAATGTATTTGCCTGAGCGAGTGATGAGGCAATTCGGGCTTCGACAATGCATTCCACCACCTTTTCGGCCTACGCTACAGTCATTACATCGTATTAGTAGACGTGGCAAAGAACGAGAGAACTGGGAAGAAACACACCATGAGTATATCCAGGAATGGGAAGCACGACGACAGCGCATATTTCGAGATACAGAGCAATATGATCCATCATCTTATGAGGAGTATCTGCGCTGGTACTCAGGAGCAACACGGCGGTACCTTGTCCCAGCAACCAGTGATGACGTTGAAGCGGGACCTTCAGCTCCAACTGATGATTCCTTAGATCTTCAGTACCAAGCCAAGTCTCCAATAATCCGCAAAGCAGTAAAACACTAATCTCTTATTTAGTTCACATTCCTGGAAATAAATTTCATGCGCTGTTTAAGATTTGAGTACAGGCACAGCTTCTTCAATCAAATTACTATGCATATAGTGAACCAGTATTTAATTTGAAGTATTCCCTAACTGATGTAGGTTGATAAACTGGAAGTTATGGTGAAGAAGGCCAAGAGAGCCATGACAACTACAGCTGATACAACCACTCAAGCCTTGGTTGCTGAGTTTCTGCATGGCTTTGAAGATGTCTTGCAAGATCTTGGTGAGATCCAGAATAATAGTGACTCAGCTGTTCCACCTTTTCATTCGGATACTAGTCCACATGTTGATGCAGCTGCAAGTCAACAGGCACCTCAATTTTTGCTTGAAGCTCAAGAAAATATAGATACCAACCAAGAAGGGCAACAAGAGGAAGATGAAGAACTTAACACAGTGGAGCGCGCTTCATTTGCCCTGGAGCCTATGGAAGAGGAAAACGACTTCTCCAACAATGTGTTCCCTGAAAATCCTTCACTGGGTGTGGGGGAAAACTGTGATTCAGCTGCACCAGCCACTGAGATTTGTGATGCAGCCACTCCCATGACTGATTTGGTTGTTCCTCAATCGGATGCGGATCTCCATCAAGATCAACATCTAGAAGACCACGCTGAAATGGAGCAGACTATATTGATGGGGGAGCCTAAGTGCGAGGAGGGTGATGGTTCCAGCTTTGTGCTCCCACCAAGCCCTCCAGAACTGATGCTGGAGGAACAGGACGACCCAGGGTTAGTAGCTCTAGGTACTGAATCATGTACCGTACAGCAGAGCCTTGAAGTAGGAGAGGCTGGGGATCAGGAAAACCCTAGCACAGCTGAGCATGGCGTCATGATAGTGGAGCATACGGGTGAGGAAAACAACAATTGCAATGGCGTTTATTCTTCCTGCCCACCTTCATCTGCCATTGTTGATCCCATCCAAATCGAGCAGTGATTATCTGTGTTAGTTAATGTAGGGATTAGAAGCATTTTTTTTAAGATTTGACATGAGATTGTTAGTTCTTTTGTTGCTGGTGGCATGGGGTTGATTCTGTAACTTGTTTCGTCGTGATTATCCTGATATCATCAGTTACAGTAAAATTGTTTGGCCTCGTGCAGTTGTGCCGATGGCAATTGTCTCTCTCAACTCTATCAAGCCATCGCCTATGTTGCTCCAATTGCCATGCCTGTGATTTGTGACCGGCTTCTGTAACCTCGCCCGTTTAACGTATATTATTAATCCAAATGTCATGCGTGTAACTTCTGAATGGCGACAGTGGCAGTGACCGGCCTTGTGCAGGCTTTGCTGCTTCTAGCCATGTCCAGTAATCCTCTCGATCGTGCTTTCTGCTGCCACATGCCCATGTGTCCCAAATCATGGTTGCCAGGGTGCCTTGAACAGGCATGTCAGCGTCCCTAAACTCCTACGTCATGAACCCATATGTCAGATGCGCATTCACACATAATGGGTACGACAATGACCCCATTTAATATGTTGAATGATTTGTTAAGAATATTGTGGGACTAACGACAAAAACTGTTTGGCCAAAAAGAAGAAGAAGAAAAAGCGCCGAGCTACTGGTTCACAAACATTGACCAAACTGTTTGGCCATTTGGCCGTCATTCACCTGCCGACAAAGCCCTGAAAGCGAAACGCTTCTGCTCCGGCGCGTTCCTATCAGGGCATGTTCGTTTGGACGTTATAAGCCATGGCTAAAAGTACTATTTATTGATTTGATGTGAGAGAAAAATATTGTTTGTTGGCTGATAAGGCATGGCTTATAATCCGAATACGACCAAGCGGAGAACTGCTTTGTCAGGTGTCAATTGTATGTATGGTTGACAGGCTGAACGCCGAGACAGAAAAATCCAGTGTAAACCAGCTCGCAAGGTGCTACTAGCCGAGGAGTACCATGTTGCAAGATTTCATGAAAACTCTTTAAAATATGGTCAAATTTAAGATGCTATGTGATCTGGAAAGAAGGCGTGACAAATTGCACGCAAAATTTCCTCTGTTGCTTTCCAACTTCTACCATCACAGTGAAAAACTTTTTTTTTCACCTACTAGTATTTTTAGTACTAAAAAGATCTACCTTTTCTTTGTACAAACACTACTAGTGAGTAGCGACTAGAGTGAAGCTACAAGGCTGTCGCACCGTGCCGGAGCGAAGGACAGCCGGTCGTTCTCCAGGTCGTACACGACGTGCGTGTTCTGCTGCTGGAAGTTGCCGATGACGGTCTGCTCCCCGGGCGCCGCGTCCAGCACGACGCACATGACGCGCGCACCGAGGTCCTCGAACACGTAGTTGCCGCGCGGCAGCTCCCAGTCGGCGCCCTCCAGGTGCAGCGTCAGCGACGGGACGGCGGGGCGGCGCCAGAGCGCCGTCACGGGGAGCGCGAAGCAGAGGTCGAGCGCCGACCCCTCCAGGCCGCTGGGCGGCAGCCCGACCTGCGCCGCGAACTCCGCCTTCACGGCCTCGTACACTTGCTCGGGGAGCGTCGTGATCGAGGCTCCCGAGTCGATGATCGTCGATCGGAACTTGGCCTCCGGGACCGGCAGCCGTGTCTTGCCCACGGATATGCCCTTGAGCGAGAGGAAGTAGAGCGACGGCTGCGAGGGGTTCTTGAGGAGCGGGGTGGTCTGGACCTCCCCGCTGAGGTGCGCGTGGCTGTAGAGCTCGGCCGGCTCGCCGCCGAGAGTGACGAGGCTGCTCTTGGACTCGAACATGGAGGTGAAGCAGTAGGAGAAGCTGGTGACGTTGAGCTGGGAGGGCAGCGACCACCTCCCCCTGCCGAAGCCGGCAATGCCGGTCTCGTTCGACTGGAACACGCCCTTGTTGAAGTGGCCGCAGCCGAAGGTCAGGCGCCGCATGGGGAGGCTGTCGCCATCGCCATTGCCGCCGCCGTTGTCCCCGCCGAAGGTGAAGCGGTCGGTGGCGATTTTGCCGGCGGTGACCGACTTGTCGCCGTAGTGGTAGACGTAGGCGCAGCTCCGGTTGCCGCCCCAGCTCCGGCCGCCGCCGCACGACGTGAACGGGAGCGCGCGGCACCGCGCCGCGCCGCAGGGGAGGGCGGCGTACGTGGAGGACGCCGCGGGGTCCAGGAGCGGGAGGCCCTGGTGGAAGCAGTCCCGGCATGGCGCGCACTGCGTCCAGACGAGGTCGCTCCCGGTGTCGAGCGTCAGCGCCACGGGCCGCGGCGGCGTGCCGACCGCCAGGCGCATCAGGTACTCGTTCGTCACGATCCCGCCGCCGCCGGTGCCGAGCCCCGCGCGCACGGCGGGGCGCTCGTCGTGCGAAGAGGCGGACAGGAGCCGGCGGCGCGCCCGGGCGCGGTGCGCCATTCGCCGCACGAGCTCGGGCGTCGCGAGGCCGCGGCCGGCGTCGGCGTGCGTGAGCAGCGCCGCCACGACGCCGGCGCCGGAGACAGGCACCGCGCGCACGGGGAGCGCGATCAGTAGTACCAGCAACGCCACGAGCTGATTCTTCATGCTAGCTTGTAATGGGGTCGGTCACAGGAGGAGCTTTGCACTGGGATTACGCTGCATATTTATGCGTCCTGAAGCACGCGGCTCATGGCGATTAGAGACTACTGCTAGGAATTGGCATCGGATTAAGCACTGGATATAGTAGTTTCAGAGGAGTGAGGAGGAGAAGCAGTTGGGTGATGTGCCACTGATGCCTACCTGTTGGCAGAAGCCGGTGACATTCTTTTTGTCAAAAGAAAAGAACATTGTATACGCCGTCGTTTTGGCACGTACTCCACTTTTCTTCAATATTTTGTACACTCGGCGCGACAAAGCAAGACGTAGGTGAGAACTGGTGAAGACGCCCGGGGACGGCACCATCGTGTATGTTTGACCCCTCCTCGACTGCCTAGTGTAAACACAGCAGAAGGCAGGATGGACATGCTCCCTCCAGTCCCAAATAAGTGCGCTTCTATCTTTTAAAATTTATCTCCAAGTAAGTGTATTTATAGGTATAGCCCAACTAGTTATAGTAGACCTTTTTACTCTCTCTACTTTCAAAATGCAATCATTATATGAAAAAAAACGTGCAATGGCATGGTCGCGAAAAAAATACAATCATTATATGCTGAAATTTTTTGATAGAGGTACCATACTAAATATGTAATTGATCTTACTTATTTTCTTCTTCTTCTTTTTGACGTAATGCGAACAATCTTATCGAGCTGCTGTGGAACACAAAATATGACATAGTAGTTTGTTTCTTTTTTTTCTAAAGGAAATGTATAAACCTGTCCTACATGACAGATCAGAACATCTTGGTTAGGTGACAGCAGATAATTTAGGATGAAGCTGAGCTATGCACAAACGGAGGTTACTTCATGAACCACAGCAAAATGTCTTCTCCGAGATGTAACCGTAGCACCAGAATTGTGGTGTCATGTACACAATCCACATGTTGTTTTCTTGTGAGCCGTAGATTTTACATACCAATTTGCAAGGCAGCGCAGTATCAATCCCACGATTATCTTGAATATATGGAGAGCATAAAATAGGTCAGAACTGGCCAAAGTAAAATCCAAAATATTCTTTCTCCAGATAAAAGGGCGCAGGAAGGAGGGTATCAATGTATCATATACCGGGGTCAATACACGAATTACAACACAAGCTGGGGCAAGGGGGATGAATGTTAGGTCCTTTCTGACGGTCATCAAGTTTGTCATTCAAAATCTGTAAAGAATATGGCCATTAATGGATGATATTCAAATTATAGTCAATTGAATTTCGATGCCACAAACTTTTAGCATGCTCAACCAATCAAAGCAGGGAAACTGTGCCCCAAGGCCAAGGAGGACCTGCTTGCAAAGATCTTCCAAAAACTCTGAATAAGCAACGGGCTTTATCTCATTAAATTTTGCAAAGAAAGAGTGTTTGATAGCATCGATAAGTACTTCACACACACACACAAAAAATGACGCATTAAGAACAAAGTTGTCAAACCATGGACCCTCTGCTTCCAAGACATTTTGAGCAAGAACAAATAGCAGAAAGGCCGTGATGTGTGAAATCGCTCAATGATGTCATAGTATATACCAAATTATGAAGATTCTCTTCGCTAACACGCTTAAATACATTACTTTTTATCTCAGCAAAATTGTTTGATACCAGTAGAGCCAATAATGCATTGCTGTGGGCAATAATACATGTTGACAGGGTGATCGCCTGAGCTAACAAGACAAATGAATGGGTAACAAATGCAACAACGGCTATCGCCTCTCTCGATCTTAATACAATGACACGCAAGTCTTTTACGTATTCGAGAAAGAAAGAAAAAAACAATGGTTATCGCCTCGTCCAAAATGAACCGCATCAGCGAGATCCCAATAACACAATCGGTCGGTGCTGTGTTGAGCCTTGCTTTGTCTCAAAGTCATGACTTTTAATTCGTGCATCAACTGTTGCTTCAGTCGGGGGAGAAAAGGTTCGCACGATATCTACAGAAATGGCGTTTCATGGTTGTTTTGGGTTTCAACCCTGAAATGCACGACTCGATCCCAAAAGGAAACCCTGACGCTGACGGAGACCGGCAGCACTGGCACCTCACTCACTCCCTTTTTTTGACAAAAACGTCCAGTAAACCGTTGTTTTCACCAACCGCCTGGCGGGGGAGGCGTCTTTGTCCGCACCGGCCGGAAATCATCGCATGCATGGGGGGCCGCCCGGCCGGGGTGCAGAGAGCAGAGTCAACCAGGGTGGGTAGGCGAGCTCCACCACCGGTACCAACGCTCTTCTCACCTCTCTCTGCAGATGGCTATTTTTCTTCCTCTAGGGATAACTAATCGTAGCCTGTAGTGATCAGAGTAGCTTTAGCTCCTGCAATCAGCGTGAGATGCAATCATGCAATCGGTTTTGAGGCGGGAAAGAATGGTGTGATAAGCTTTTCTTGTTAGGGAAGCGATTGGGTTTTTTACCTGCGTCTTATTTCGATGTCACTGTCTTGCCTATCAATCTATCATGTGGTCGGGGCTCTGTGTGCGTCTTTTCTTTTTTTCCACGGAGAAAAAAGCTCTGGATTTTCTATGCCATCTGAAACTGCAGAGATAAGTATTTTTAAGAGGCATAACATATTTAACAGAGAGAGAGAGAGAGAGAGAGAGGAATCTACTAGTAAGATTCTTGTTCTTCAGTGTCGGCCTTATGATAATGCAAGCCTCGTGGCTAGGCAATAGGCACACTGTCAAGATCACTTAACAGACACTCATAGTCGTCATAGCAACTTTGGGAGGTGTATATTAAGTCTTTTATTAGTGTGGCTGATGGTCACCTCCCACTTAACAGCAAGCAAACAGATTAAGAGCTCATCTATCCCCTTGTTATTTCTCTGCGAGCTAGGAGGGTCAATGACACGTTGACAACCGTGCAAAAACACATGTCAACAAACATGCACGACCAACCAGACCAGTGTAGCGGCCACTGGTCAACAAACATGCACCTCGCTGCCCTCTTTTTTCTTGGTGAAAGCAGCCAGAACAGAATTCAACAACCGTGTTATCCTGATCGAGCTGAGCTTTGTAGTCGCCGGTGCACTCGGTGACACCGACCGTGCGTTAGGCCGCGGCATCGGACAGCCAGCTGCGCGCCGAGGGCGACCGCCGACGACGTCGACGGCGTATAAAATGACCTGGAATCCTTAATTTGCCGCCGGCGAGCAGGACAAGGCAGACGGTTAGTCAAATGCTCCGGAATCTAGCGGTGCTTGCGTGTTGACGTGCTGGAGCCGGTTTGTTGGTGTACGGTGCAAATGATTTGCTCGTGCTTTCGGACATCAGCAGCAGGAATATGTACGTACTCCCCTGTATGTGCAGCTGAGACTTGAAATGGATGAGATACGGATCGTAACTTCGTGAGTTGATCAGGTATGTAGCTTGTTTCCGGTAGAGAGGTTACTGAATCTTTTTTTTAAAAGGTGCAGACCACTAGATAAAATGACAAAATTCTCAAAAAAAAAATGACAAAAGACCACCCTGATATGCTTGTGCTAACCATTCAATAATAAGTAATAACCGTATACCTAACCACGTGTAAAGATGATTGATCCGTGCCAACGACGACGTCCTACAGTCGCTCCTGGCGTGTGAGTGAGGGAGCGCCTCCCTCCCATTCCGTAGACAAGGATGTTGCAATAATACTTACCATGCATGTTAAAACAGTGTTATGGAGATTTAGCACTAAAAAGTACTATCAACTCATTAGTGTTGAGATAATTGTGAGTCGAGTCTCTATCTTTACAACTAAAACATTCATAATTATTCCGTCCACAGGTGCGACACCAAAGCCGCTCCATGTGATCAGATCAGAAAGGCAAACGCGTACTCGCTCTATGCGATCAGCTCAATCTCCGTAACAGCCGCAGCAAATCAGGAAGATAAAAATCAATTCCCGTAACAATCGTGATCAATTCCGCGATCTTGCCTTTCGTCCAATCCCTTCGTGTGTGCGCGCGCATTCACGCGGCGAGCCTCGGTGGGCCAGGACTCATCAATTCTGAGGCCTGCTCCAAACTCCTCTCCGAGTCTGATACAACATCGACCTTCACCGGCACAACGAAAGACTGGTGGCCCGAAAAGGCTCCGGAAAAATCATACAAACGGACACCTAAACATGCTCCAGAAAAATCTACTTACATCTATATTTGTGTCTGTTGCCCCGCTCCGTCCATCGCATGCCTCCTACGGTTGTACGTTGTACCCCCACATGCAATATGGTTTCCATATGCATACGTTGCATGCCCAATTTTCCAATCAATCACATAGACATGGAAACGGTCGGTCTCATGCACGTCGTCCGAGGGTACACGGCGATGAGAGCATGGACGAGCTTGATCAGCACCCGTGCTGCCTGGACTTGAATCAGTGTCTGTGCGAGCACACGGCGAGGCGAGCACGGACGGGCCCGATCAGCATCCGTGTCGCCTGGACATCAATCTGCGAGTGTGCACACATCCCCATCCACGACGAGCACTCTGGTGGGCAGCAACAGGGTTCTATTCCCATTGGCGCACGGATTAAAAAAAGAGGGCTGCAGATCGACCGCAGGAAGAAAGCCAAGCCGCCAGAGATGACAATTCTGCAGGGGCGCTATCCCTCAAGAAAGAGCTCAAACAAGCCAAGAGGCATTGGGCCAGACGCCGCATCGCATGAAGCTACCGAGGTGAGCGTTGAAGCGTACTGCTCGGCAGGCCACCAATTGGTCGTATGTCTCCCAGCTGGGTAACCTTAGCTGGAACGAGTTTCTAGGCAAGGGAACCAAGTACTATAGCGAGGTGTCATCGCCCCGCTGAATGGATTTGAAAATAGTTTACAATTTCAAATACAAAATCATTAGTAACTTTTTATTATTTTGTAAAAAATAATTAAATCTATCATTGTCGGCGTGGGCAAAATTTTGTGGTCCCAGTGCAACGCACGGGCATTTATCTAGTCTATAAAAAAACTAAGCGCTGATTTTGAAAATCCCCAAAATCCAATATTAGACAACATCACACATTAAACTTAATAGGAGTTAATATCTCGAACAAATCTGAGTCATTGATTTTTTTAGATTTTTAATTAATTAACTTACCTAGAAAAAGAAAAAAAATTCTAAAATGAGCAGGCCCGCGGCTTCTTCCTTGTTCGTGAGCAGTTCCATGCCATATGTCGCACCCTTCCTTTACGTGTGTATGCCGCACCTTTCCTTTCTCTGGTTCTGTCATACAACTTTCTAAATTCTAATGGAGATATGCTTTCTTTTTTAAGAAAAGTTTTGATTCAATGTGACAAGAATTATTTGGGTGACAAACGTGGATTCTAGACGTAATTGTACGTTGTTGTCAAAAGCATGTTACTAATTTCTATGTCACACGTTGCACGAACATTGGTGATCTAAAACATGTTACACACTCAGTGACGGAGGCGTGAATAATTTTCAGGTGTGGTGGGGTTTATAAGAACCAACATACCGCTTATATGACATATGGACGTATGTATTTCATGTATATTTACTGGTATATAATACATATATTTAGTATTTTGTACAGATTTTAGGTATGGCGGCTGCCAAATACCTGCCTTCGCCCCTGTACACACTACCACGTTACATGGTCGAGTGCGTATGTTATGCTAATACGATCAAAACTACATCACTTAATTGAGACGGTCTTTTAAAATATGTTACACGTAACACGTTAGTTGTCACGAATGTTAAAAACACGCTTAGCTCTCACATACGATGGGAAAAAAGTTACATGCTATTTAAATTATGTCATTTATGATGAATGGAAAGTTAGTGCTAGCACATGTCACGTACCTTAAACGGCCAAATAATCCAAATAATGCTAATCAAATTTGTTATATCATGTCATGTCCAAATTATGCTAATTAAATTAGCTATCATAATAAGTTACTCCCTCCGTTCATTAATATAAGCCATACAGTTTTTAGCACCAAGTTCGAGTTATTACGTAACACGTTAGTTGTCACGAATGTTAAAAACACGCTTAGCTGGGGAAAGTTACATGCTATTTGAGATCGAGGATGAAAAAAAGGAAAATGTCACGTACCTTAAACGGTCAAATAAGCCATAATCTCTCTCCCAATATCATGTCATTCCAAATTTCCTAATTAAATTAGCTATCATAATAAACCCCACAATCCTCTCTCTCCCCAATATTATTAGCACGCCTTGGGGAAGGATGTGAGATCGAGGAAAAAAAGGAAAATCAAGTCATCTTCTCTCTCCCAATCAGATTGCTTCCTAACAACTGTAACAAACCTCACAATCCTCTCTCTCCCCCGATCGGTTTCCCCTCTTCCTCGCTGGACCCACCGCCTACGTTTCCCGCGAGCGACGACGCGTTATTTTCCTCTCTCCCGCGCGGCATGCAAAGGGAAAAGCCTCGACAAGTTGAAAAGCGATGGAATTTTTTTTGTCTCATCCAAAAATTCTAGCAAAGGAGGGAATCACAATGGTGCCAATGATCAGAAATTTTCGTTTTGTAAACAGCGACCCTGGAGCTATAAATCCCCCCTCCCCCTCGCTATCTCACCAGTCTCCCGCTCGAGCTCGACATCTCTAATGGCTGGTCACCGCTCCGGGTGGATCAACTGGGATGCCCTCGGCGACGAGGCGGAGGAGGATGCTGCCGAGTTGAACTACGACATAGCTGTTCGTTGAAGATCCATCCGAGGGTGGCTCAAACATAGCGCGCATCTTGCCGCACCCGGAACACTCATACTTTGCCATCTCTCTGAACCAATGCGAGAAGTCAGTCTTCGTTCCGGGCAATTGAAGACACATCACACATGGCACCAGCTTGATCTCCTCCTTCAGCATGGGAAGCGAGGTCGCCGTCTTCGTGTCCTTGTCCATTGGAAGCGAGATCGCTTGCTTTGTCTTCTCCTTGGGCATGGAAGATGAGTTGCAATTGTCCATGGAGTCTGGCGTGAAAGAGAAGGAGAGAAACAAAGCTACGGAGATACGCGTGCGAGACTCGATGGAATGCATATGTACAGAGAAAAAATGATAGGTATCGATAGCTCTGTTAAGAAAAAAAAAGATTCCTAAATCTAAGGAATTTGGTGGGGGCATGTGCTATGTACGGTGGGAAGGTTTCCAAACTAATCGACGTGGGAGCTGATACGTACCTATATTTTGGAATTTTCTTTAGAAATATATATGGCTTATATTAAGGAACGGAGGGAGTATATGCTAACCAATTATGTCATGTCCAAAGTTGCTAAATAAAAGATTTAACTATCGAATAAATCATACATGCATCAATTAGATTAAAAAGAGATTTTTTATATTAGAACTTTTCCTCATATGTCCTATTTTACAAAATTTAAAATTAAATAAATATATATTTCATATATTGCCTCCTACAAAATAATAGATCATCATAACCATCCGATCTAATTAAATAAATGGCTCATAGTTATTTGAAAGCACCACAGCAAAGGCCAAACAAAATACTCCCATCTCCTTAACCATTTCAATGTTGTTTCTTAGATGGTTTTGTTGAGGTGGCATTGGCTTACATGTAAGGTGGCCGCCTTTTTATATAAAAGAATCATAACTTTTTTTAACTTTTTTTATATAAAGTAGAATGAATGTAAACTTCATATAAAAGTTATAGATGTGGAAGCCATCTACAACTTTATAGTTTGTGATTTTTTTATTTAAGATCTTACAAAGGCCCGAATATTCGTTTTCATTTATTAGATTTTGAAATTGAATTTTTTCAAACGATCTCATGTTGACATGATCTATAATTGAGTTGTAGCTACTAGGCCATCAGGATCATGGACCTTGCCACCTCTATCTCGTACAACTGCCTTCAGACCCTTGCCTTGAAGGATGGATCGCTTCTTCATACACAAAATCTGCTGATAGCAGAATCATACCAGAAGTTTCACCAGAAACTGATGAAGAGAGGCTACTGCAATCTTCATTCAGGTTCCACCTGGCCCCAATGAGGCCTCTTCCCCGTTCAATACAAATACAGCCAACAATAGTCTACAGAGGAATCCACATCCGCAAGGACAATGTCAGAGAAAGAATGAAAATGAGGAGCAAATGGCATGGTTGATTAATCACGGGCGCTTGCGAGGCGTTCCCAGCAGGCCCATTTGAAGGAGAAAAGCCGGAACCTCCTGGGATGGCACCACCAGCGTCTCCAGGTCCTGGTGCAGGTGATGGAGAATAAGACCCATGGTTTGCCACAGTTGGCACCGCCGTGAGTGGAGGGAATTGATGTGGTCCTGTATTCATCAAAGTGATTGAAACAACAGACACCAGCAAAGATCAGAACAGAGGAATTCATGATCCATAGCAGTGGGCAAACGAAACAACAGCATCTACTCTATGAAACAAACTTCTGTCGGTACATTTCCTACTGTTTGCTATACTGAAATACATTTAAAACAAAGTGAAAGCTTCACCAATCTAGACATCATGTTATTTGGTTAATGCCTTAATCCACATTTTATAATGTCAATGATGTTCCAGAAGCATTGTCTGAATAAGCAATGGTATATTTTCATTCTTCTCCTTTTCCTTTGACATAAAAAAGTGTGATCAGGTGAAAAATGCCAATTATCTACAATGCAGCTTCCTCACATGTTGCACTTGATAATTTAGTAAATAACTATCACTTCATTTATTTAAAAGGTTTGCTTTGGTACTTCGTACTACCTCAAATAAAGAAGTATACAGAACTTTAAAGCAAGGTACATAGTGTTAGGCAGGCGTAATCTGATACTAAGGCCCTGTTTGGTTGATCTGATACTAACTAGAAAAGCTGAAAGCTGTTTGGTTAAACAAGTATAAAATATACCTTTTATTGATGGAAGAGCTTTTATTCCACCAATTTATAAAAAAAAAGGTCAAACCACTTTCAAAAATGCCACGGAAAAGCAGCTGCTTCTAAAAAGATTGGACCCTTTGGTTGGCTTTTTAGCTTTTAGACAAAGCCAAAAGCCCAACCAAAGGGCCTAACAAAACAAGATTGAGGGCAACCTACCGATATAAAAAAAGGAAATGCCATCTTAGATTGGACACAGGGAGATCAAAACTATGTTCGATTTAAATCCAAACCAAGGGGCTAGATTAATATTCTGGGACAAGAATATCTTTCTTTACACTTGAAATCACACATCAGGTTCATCCTTTATTCTCTCTTCTAAAAAGGAGGTGCGCACCTAAAAAATCTTATAGGTTGTGACTAGACAATACATTTACTATTTTACTGATGGACGTTTCAAAAGTGCTGCTCTGGACAACTCAATGATGATGTTCAAAAGGAACTTTGAACAAAGGAGTAAAGGACTGAAATTTACTGCATCGGCACTTCAGTAGCTAAATATGAAGCAGACTACAAGTGAAGATTGCACAAGTACCTGGACACATGGGTTGAAGACCTGAGGATAGCCTGCACATGCATTGTAAGATGTGATCATCTTTGAGTTTCATAGTTTAGATAAGAGTAAAAACAAAATTATTTGGGATTTTTTGCTTACGATGTTGCGATGGTTCCATTGACATAGCCAGCATAGTTGCAAGACGAGATACCGCAGCCACCAGTGGTGGGTTGTGCAGTCACATTACCAAGAATTAGGCTGCTATTAGAGCATTGCAAACTTGAACATGATGCTGTCAGTGAAGCCGGTGTGCAATACAAACTGTAAGGAAATGAGGGTGTTATAGTCCGAAACAAATAAAAGGCAAGAAATCTACATTGAACAAAAGGGAGTATAAGTTTACTTGAGATCTGCTGGCCCGCAACTGCACTCCACACAGTTCCCAGCAGTCAGTGCGTAGGTTCCATTTGCCACAAGCAATCCATAGTCCGAAGCAGAGTTAGGAAATGCTGAGGCGCAAGCTAATGAAAGAAACAAATGGTTGTCATTAGAAAGAAAGTACTGATCAGCAGAGGTCGGCAAAATTAGAAAGTATCCTTCTCAACTATCATTATTGAATCAATCAGCAAAAAGAAAGGTATGCCTCCAAGAAAGTGAAAGACCCTTCCATCAAAAATGAAGACCTACCACTGCACATTTTTATAAGTTATCTTTAGTTAATGCACTGAATAATTAATCACTCAAAGCAGCCCTTGCTAAAATTCATAAATCATAGGCCCTGTTTGGTACAGCTTATAAGCTGCTTATGGCTAAGGCCTTATTTAGTTTCCCCCCTAAAGTTTACTCCCTATCACATCGGATGTTTGACACATGCATGGATTATTAAATATAGACTAAAAAATAATTAATTGCACAGATTACGACTAATTTACGAGACGAATTTTTTAAGCCTAATTAGTCCATGATTTGACAACATAGTACTACAGGAACCATATGCTAATGACGGATTAATTATGCTTAATAAATTCGTCTCGCGGATTACTGACGGATTCTGTAATTTGTTTTTTTATTAGTATCCGAACACCCCATGTGACATCCCTAAACTTTACCCCTGGATTTAAACACCACCTAAAATAAGCTGAAACCAACAGCCAAACGGCGTGCTTTTTGCAGCTTATTCCGGACGCCCTTATTTCCACCAGCTTATTTTGACCGTGTTTTTACTCTTATTTGTGCAGCTTATCTAGGAAACAGGACCATAGCAAATAAAATTGCTCACATGTACCACACAAACACAGAAAAGTAATCTTCCACAACCTAACCACTGCAAGCGTGGCTTGTCCCAAGCCCCAACCGTAGATCAGTTTTTTGCAGTGGTACTTTAATTTTAAAGTTTAAAAAGCCATCACTGCATTCTGCGTTTGTAAAATCCAAAGGCTGGCAATTCCTTATAACAAGTTAAAAAGGGCCTAAAGGAACTATGTAACATTAAATTGGGCCTTTACAGAACTACCCCTTTAGACTTTCACAACGATACACCTGTCACCGGTCAACCAATATTTCAGGTTATTTCCCCTGACCTACGGTTATTGACAATCATAAGCATAGAAATGATGGGTGGTTATTGGCAAACTAGATCCCTACAGAACTTGAAACAACATATGTTTTCAACCAGTGTTTAGTCAATTTGATGGGAAAGTGATGGAATGTTGCCAAGTTATGGCTCTGAAATGGCCATGGCAGTTTATTCCAATCTTGTTGCATACTGCGGTCCAATGAGTGAATTTGTTTACCAGCCAATGGTATGGCAAGGATGTCGCCTGGTGCGACAATGGGGCTCCCCATGGCGTTCACATTGCTGATATCAGTGACGGTGGTTGTGTGGCTGGCGGCGATGGATTCCACGGTGTCCCCGACCTGCACGACATAGGAGAGGTACACAGCGGGGAGGTTGTTGTCGGTGGAGTTGAAGCAGACGCAGGGGAGCGGGATGACGAGCTTCTGGCCGGGGTTGAGCGGCGCGTCGGGGTCCTCGGCGGCGAGCCCGTTGGCGGTGCGGATCTGGTCGGCGGTGGGGAGGCCGGCGAAGACGACCTCGGCGATGGAGCCGAGCGTGTCGGAAGGCCGCGCGGCGTAGCGGACGGCGACGGACTTGCGGACACCGTCGGCGCAGGCGCAGCGGGTGGGCACGCGGAGGGGCGTCCCCTTGGGGAGGATGCGGTTGGCGGCGCCTGGAGAGGCGAAGTCGAGCGCGTTGGCAGCTAGCACCGCGGCCGGGTCGGCGCCGAAGAGCGCCGCCACCTCGGACACCTTCATGTCCGCGTAGAGCGTGTAGCCCAGCAGAGCCGGGCACGCGTCCGCGCCAGCGCACGGCTCGAACGTCGTCTTCGCCGTCGCGCCGCGGAACGCCGCCACCGCCGCAAGGAACAGCAGCAGCGCAGTCGCCGCCGTCGGCATTTGGGCCCGAGGGTTTAGGGTTTGGGCTTGAACAGTAGTAGGGGGAGGCACCGAGGCAGTCTGGCAGAGGGGCGAGGTGAGCTCGCCGGCTGAGCTTGCAGCTCTGAGCTGTGAGCTCTGTTACTCTGTACTCTGCTAGTGTGAACACGGGTGCGAACTGTGTGGAGGGTTGGTGAAGTGTGTGAATGCTAGACGCACACGGAGGTGTCTGAACTGTCAATGACAGGTGGGGTTAGTGAAAATACGGCCCGCACGTCAGTGATATACTGGCTAGTTTGGTCAACATGCAAGGACGGGGACACTTCTTCTCAGGGAGACGTTGAGCTCGGCTTGAAATACGTGGCCTGTGAGGGAGACGGGGGGACAAATGTCTCGTGACCAGGTCTACAAACGCCTTGTTATGTGTGGGCCCACCTTGGTCCACCGTCCACGTGTCCCGTTGCACAACGGAGACATTGCCAAGCGTAACGGAACAGCCCTTGGGCCTGGATTGGGCCAAGCTTAGAGTTTTCGTTGGGCCGGACCCAACGACTCTACCAGTCCATTTCGCCCATGCTCTCAGCCTCCCCTGTAATCTCAATTATTAGTTTTTCCACAAAAATCTCATTAGTATTTGTGATTATTAGTTAGCGCTCCCTTTGTTCTAAATTAAAAAAAATTTTGCCATTCCTAGATTAATATATATATCAAGATATAATATATATCTAGATACATAGTAAGAGCTATACCTAGGAAAGCAAAAATAACTTACAATTTAAAACAGATCGAATAGCAAACATGTTAATACATGGTGTTTGTGCCAACAATAATGAGGTAGCTATATTTTCTGGATTTAATTGGACATGGAGCCACCTTAAACCAAATAAATTTCAAGGCCCAAATTTTTTTTAAACGCAAGTGGCAAGAGCTCTGTCTTTCAACTTAATATAGAAAAGAGTCGGCCCAGATTATAAGAAATTTTGGCCCAAAAACCTTACCCCCTCCTTCCCAAAATAGTTGATGTTTTAGATTTAGACACCAGAGTTTATTTAGGAGTAAAAAGGTGTGGTGCACAGAAAATAAGGAGAGAGGTAGAGAAATGTATTGAAAAAAGAAAAAGGTGTATTGAGAGAAAAGAAAGGTGCATTGGCAAGTGAGAATGACAATTATTTTGGGATAAAATTTGAATCATAACGTCAACTATTTTAGAACGGATGGAGTACACTTGCATGGTTAATTAAAGAAAAACCCAACAAAAACCCTACCATCCACCACATCATAACTAAAATCGCCAACTCAAAATGATGTAGCCCACTGCAAGCCATCATTGCTGAGATCGAAAAGTCGAGCAGCTCCGACTTCCTCCAAAGGACCAAAGCCCAAAGCCTCCAAGTCACAACACACGCTTATAAAGAAAACTAACACCACCCTAAAGAGGTTGTAGACGTCATTGTTGTTGTGCTATGTCGAACCCCACAACATGGTAGCTCTGACTTCGCCAAAGCAATTTTCCAAGAAAGTCAATCGTCCATGCGCGATGCGAAGCGACACCAAAAGGGTGACCCAAAGACCCCGGTGACAAAAAAATCTTGCTTTCTACCTATGCTTAACACGCTGGTTAAGATCGATTATACAGTTTGAGATGAGATCTAGGAGAGGCCAACGTGCTAACCATGATAGAATATTACCCCCTCGGTTCTAAATTATAAGTCGCTTTGACTTTTTTGATACATTCATTTTGCTATGCATCTATATAAACAATATGTCTAGATACATAGCAAAATAGACGAACAAAAAAAGTCAAAGCGACTTATAATTTGGAACCGGAGGGGTACATTTAAGGAAATAAAAACTTTTATTTTGGCCATCAAACTATCAACCGACCGATTTTAGCCATCAAACTCCAAAACCAGATGTCTTTAGTCATCGACTAGTTTCAAAGGTGATTTCGCCTATATATGTGTGTGTATGTTTTAAAAAAGATAACAAAAAGTTAACCTCTAAAGTTTCATAACTAATTAATTTTAAATAAAAGTATGAAACCAATACCAATTCTTTACATTAGTGCTCTATTTAGATTTATTTGGATCTTAATTGTTCCTGTTGTTAGTGTTTTATTGCTCATACTTATGACCATTATTTATTTGAATTATCATTTTGTGTTGTATTAAATCAGGAGATCAACTAAAAAACATTAGAAATAAGAACAAGTAAGATCCAAAGAACTATAATTTAAGCACCAACAGATACATTGATTTTGAAAAGAAAAAAATATCGGTGCCACTTTGTATTTTTGTTTAAAATAAATTAGTTATGAATTTTTAGAGATTTAACGATAATTATGTAGAAAAAAACATATTTGAAACCAATCAAGGGCCAAAGTTATCTAGTATTGATAATCTGATGGCTCTTTTATATTCGGTTTTGGAGTTTAATGGCCACTGACTCGACATGAGAGTTTGATGGTCAAAAGTAGACTTATTATTTAAACCTAATAATCATTGTTTAGTTCAAAAGGGTCTAAAATACCAGGGATGGTCATAGCTAACTTTGATCCACATTAACTCTCTGCTACTCAAGATATCAATTTTTTTTGCGAAATATATGTGTAATAGTATCTTTTATAAATTACAACAATGCTATCAATATAAACATGCCTAATATTTTAGTTAAAATGTATAAATTTCTCTAAAGTAACAACTATATGTATAGCTTTAACAGTTAGTTACCATCATTGGTATGTGAGTCATCAATGAACATTTTTCATGGTTGCTGATATGCAGGATTTCTAACCACACTCATGCAAGAAGAGACAAGCCTTTTTGCACTCAGAGAGTAGTTCATTCCTCCTCAGCAAAGCTGCTCGAGTACATGTTTCAGTACCCAAAAACAATGGTGAATTCCTCGCGAGAGCTACCAAAAAAGAGAACCCCTCGCAAATCGACCACAGCAGTCTGGCTCTCAGCCTCTTCAGTGCGCTAAGCAGGGGGAAACTAAACCTCTCAAGCACGAATGTTTTACAATGGTTTTATCACTACCTTATGGACTCTAGGGGGTTCCAAAATTATTCACGGCTGAATCGGTTCAGTAGCTGCAGGAAGATAGCCTTGGAGATGTACTAGAGTTGAGGGATCAAGGGGGATCAAGTGATCACACGCCTTGGTTAACAATGTGAGGGTGTCAGGTGCTTCAAGCTTGAGACGTCGAACAGCTCCATGAATCTCTGGTCAGTGATCCTCGCTTTCGCAGCAGCAAAGCGATGGTACTCGTCGAAGACTGAAGACAAGCACCATTTCTGCAGCTTCCTCAAGCACCCGACCACACAACCAGTTCGGTGCTGCAGATATGCAAATATCGAACAGTTAGTTGAGGATCAGGGTCACAGTTGTTTCTTGGGATAGCAGCCACAAACTGTAAATTGAGATCTGATCTTACCTTGCCTCTCTTGCAATGAATAAGCAGAGGTTGGTTTCTTGGGTCTGCAAAGGAGAATAAAAGATAGAAGTGAGATTACAATTCTATGATGCAAGTGTGCAAGATATTCAGTCTATAGAAAGATGTAGTTGGCTGTGTGCATCCCTATTTGTAGAAAGCGAAAAGTTATACTTTCTTCATCTTAAAAAAAAAATAGAAAGGTGCAGTACCTAAGACAACTTTGAGCGCCTCCCTTATTTTGTCATCGGGTATGTTGACAAATGGTTCCTGCAGCAACAGCATTTGATGTGTTATCAGACCAATCATGAGGAGAATAAGGACTTGGATGAAACCAAAAAAAAAACATACAGACTGTCAGCTGTAACAAGAACCATATTTGACAAGAGAAATATGACAAACAAAGTTAAGACAATCGTAAATCCTAACTGCAGTTAAAACGGTATGCAGAAGGCTCCTTTCCTGTCACTGCCAAAAGCAGTCAATTTTCTTATCCATGTGCCATTAGAAGTCATGAAGAAACTATTTTTTAGATAATGATCAATTGATCATGAAGAAAACTCAAGTCCAGAGATACTCAAACACGTTAATATACTGTCATACATAGATGACTGGACAGAAATACAGAAAGGTCAATAGAAGTAAGAGGATATACAATACGACCACTTCCTTGAAAACAGACAGATCGTGAGTTGTGCATGAGTCTCCACAGTCAAGCTTTCAGTAGTTTCAAGCAACTGGGCCCATAATAATTAACGAAGAAAAAAAAACAAGTTTGCTATGTCTATGAGACGTCAAAGTTTTCCTTGTAAAAAAAAAACTTTCCTAAAAAAAGTAAAAGGAAAATGGAATTTCCAATGATGTAAACCATCCATGAACCTCAAAAACATCTTTAGATAATGGCAAACTGTGGATTAGCATCAGCTATGAACCTATGAACGGTTCACCGAGCAAATCATAATTTCAGAACAACAAACAAACAAACAAAAACCCAGCTAGTTCATATGGCTGACAAACAGACTACTCCCAGCCATTCAATGAGTTGACATAGCTTTATTCTTGTCGTCAAGTTTTGCATCATGTCATGGATAACTTAAAGTTCAAACAGAGAGACAAAACAATCATGAAGAATGAAACTTTCAGAGATTACAAGATAGTTAATATTGACCAGCTTCCGAAGGAAAATGAATATCTAAAGCACGAAAGAATGCATATTTGATCCATTGCCACGACTTTCGACCAATATATTTCAATCAAAACAGGTAAGCACTACTTGACAAAAACCTAGTTAGATACCAGTTTTTACAGACTTGGATGGCAACAGGCATATACAAGTATATGATACAATGATGCACTAAAAGAGAGAGCAACCTACTAGCACCACTAGTACAAGTTATTTTTTCAAGTAATATATGTAATATGTAGTTTTTCTTTTCTCTAAAGCCTAAGGTGGCTTTTTTCAAGTAATATATGTAATATGTAGTTTTTCTTTTCTCTAAAGCCTAAGGTGGCTTTCTGCCACCTAATGGTAACGTTGGCGCAGCTTGCGCTTGTCCAATCTCTGCTTATTAATATATGCCGGTAACCAATCCGGATCTTTCAAAAAAAAGAGAGAGAGCAACTAATAACACCTCAAAATAGTCATAAATAGAGGCATACAACTTACAAACATTTTCAGCTAGCATATGTTCCCCTTTAAATAGTGTTTTCTATAAGAAAAGTTGTTGAAATTTACCATGCTTACATATCCAATTTTTGCATAGTGACATAACATAAGGATACCCTGAATTAGTGTGAAAATACATTTCAAATATCGTGGCATTTGTGATTCAGTACAATGGACAAAAAAAAAACAAGGGAAACAGTTCCATTTATATCTACATGTATATTTATACAGAAATTTACACTTTTACATGACAGCAAGATCGGACATGGTTACAATAATTTATTTCTATATTGTCCATGCCCAGATTCATCAAGCAAAAAAATATTTTTCTCAAAACACTGCATCAGACCCATGCCTGTAGTGCCATTCCTCTTATCAGCAACAAAACAAGATACTGGATAGTGATATGTATGGATGCACATTGTGCTACCCATTGTGCAAAGCGTCAGTGTATCTATTCCTAGGCACCGTCAACATAGAGGAAAACTACAATCCACCTTCTGTGACACTTTTTTATTGTGCATTCACCATCCTCAGGACGTCATTGCTGAAGTTACAGGCATATCTTGAAGCTTTTCTCACAAACTCACAAAGATAAATCGGTACATTTCTAAAATCAATTCGTGTATGCTGTTTGACACCCTTGTATCAAAGTAATTGCATGGTTTACCTAATTTGCAGAAACAGCGAAAAATCACCATAGCATGGAACCAAAATAAGAAAAAAAATCACAAAAAGAAATGAAAAGCAATAGAAATAAAGGCGACACATGGAGATGCTCCAAGCCAAAAGGGGTGATGAGTACACGCTGGTAGTGGTAGGCTTGTATTCATAGGAACGCAACAATAAAAAAACACTTGAGAATATTGGGAAAAGAATTGTTTTAAATCGGCAGCACAGCTGGCTTGATTAATCAAAGCAATGCTGAAAGGGACCACTACCGATTCGCCGTGAAGCTTGAAAATTCTCCAGATAACACTGCGTGCCTACGTGAAGACTGAAGAGGATTTATGGACCCTTTCAGGCAAGTCAGTTACAATAACAAATAAATTTCATTGAGTAAAGCACCGGGGCTATCCCCAAAATCACCAGTGGAAGTGCAGCTAGTACTAAATTAGGATACACAAGACGACATGTGACCGGCTCGGGGGAAACAAGCCGTGCATCATGGATGTTACCGAAAGCAAACCATATTTTATTTTAATCCCTCCAAAGTAATTCTACGCCTCCATGAACTACCGCTAACCGACCGCAAAGCAGCAGAAGATTTCGTTGAAACCAGGTGGCCGGATTGTTGATTGTTTTACCTTGCGCCCCTCGATTCCGAACTGGTGGAGCCTGATCCCGTTCTTCTCGAGGAACTCCATGTTCGTCTCCGGGTACGGCTCCGGGCACAGGTACCTGGTGGCGCGCTAGAACGCTTCAGAGCGCCGCACGAGCACGCGACAACAACTTTCTCGGTAATTCGAGAGACGGGGGGCGGCGTGGGGGAGCGAAAGAGACGCTTACACGATGGAGCGGAGGTTGAGGGTCTTGAGGAACCGGAAGTTGGAGGTATCCGGGAAGCCGGAGCGGAAGATGCCGTCGTCGACCATGGCGAAGTTGAGCGGCGGCACGAGCGTCGCCTCGTCGCACGCCACCGCCGCCGGCGGGAGCGGCGGGGGCAAGGGGCAGATCCTTGGGGGCTTCTCGTGCTTCCACAGGTCCAGGCCGCTCATCTCCATGGCCTCCTCCCTCTGCTCCGCCTCCAGCACACGCTGCTTGGGCATGGGCATGACCTCCAGCTGCATGGCTTGGCTCGCGCGGGGCGGTGAGGGAAGCGCCGTAAAACCGAGGCGCAGGTGGGTGGTTTCTGTGTGAGCGTTGTGGGCGAATCGGGAATGCCAGTTATTTATAGGCGAAAAAAAAAGTAAGATGAGAAGTTTTTTTAGATGAGGTTGGAGGAAGAGCTAGGTAAGGTTTAAAGGGCTGATGACGACTGATGGGGAATGCTTAAATTTGGGATAGAGAAGTGACCAGTCTGATTCTATGATTACGAGACCTAATCGGAATGGCTGGTTGAATTAATTGCGATGCATCATCTCATCATCTCGAGGGTGAAAGGGGAGGTGGTGTTTGATTTTGGAGGAAATATTGTGGAGTGGAGAATAATAAGCTATATAAAATGTTTTTTATGGTCGAAATATGCTTCATGGGCTCACGATCGAGTTTATATTCGTGGGATTGATGACCACTACTGACAAATATCCTACCTATAGAAATATAGTCCTCATATCACCTTGATACAAGCGTCCACGAAAAAAGAGGTCCACATAACCTATAACCATGGTAATACACAACATATACACGGGATTGGTATGGACAAATATGGCGTTGCCGTTTTGGGTTATGGCGTGCGGGACACTGGAAAAGACGGTGGGGGTGATATTAAGCTATACCGTGACGACAACATAACCCTTTCTTAACGTGTGTCCATTGTAAAAGTATACATCTACGCTCGCTACGACGACATGTGTGCACAAGGTGAAAGGTTGAAGTGATATATGAGTCATGATGACAACTCGATACTTACCTATAGCGTGGAAGCATACTGGAAACGTAGCAATGATCTACGGCGGAAAGGTAGGAGTGATATATGGTTAAATACAATGACAACTGAACCCTTACTTAGGTCTTTGTTTAATAGTGTTTTTGTTAAGGCAAAGCCCTACCAAATATGTATAACGAGGAACGACTTCCGAAGCCAAAGCTAAGCTGAAAACAATGAAGTCGAAACCATTTTTGCCTAAAAGCCCAAGATGTTAAAACGTGTTTTTTTTCTCTAGATTCATTATTTTTGGAAGAGAGACCTATGTGTGTGTGTGTGACCATATAGAAAACGTATGCCTCTTTCCATCACAGCGCACAAGTATATATATCTGCGGTAAATGAGCAAGACCGATACCTAACAGGATCACAGTGGCAACTCAATCGGCAGGGAAAATATATATGCTAAAGAAGCGAATGTGGACTGTACGAGGAATTAAGGGTGGTCTTCTACGAATGTGCGGTAGCTAGGCACAGGGGATGAAAATGAAGAAACGGATATTTTCTAGAAATTATTCCTCATGAAATCCGTTTAGAAGGGTTGAGATCAATGCACCAAGAATCATGAAAGTCATTGGGGATATCCAACAGTTTCGAGTGGACTCGTATCTCAGATCCATTGGAATACTCAAATAGATATTTATGATGTCGATGTCCAATACTTATCCTATCCGACATAGTTGACACTATGTGGTATCCTATGAATAGAAATTTAGTTTCTTTCAAATATAAAAACAAATGTAATAATGTGGTGATATCCGAATTAAAAGGGTGATCCATTTTCATCCCTACCTACGCATGTGTGGTACACACATATCAAAGTTCAAACTTTAAAAACTTTAACCAATAGCTTGCTACTCCCTCTATTTCAAATTATAAGATGTTTTAGCTTTTCTAAATACGTTGTTTTAACTATGTATCTAGAGTTCTAGACATATATAGTATATATCTAAAGTGCATAGTAAATACGTACCATATATCTAGAAAATCTAAAATATTTTATAATTTGGGATGAAAAGAGTAACAATTAATTACATAATATAAACTTGGTATGATTATATTTGTAAGCAATTATATTGTCTAATAATTATAAATTTAATAGTGAACATGCACGTGCGACACGCACGTGGATATCAAAAGAAAACTCATTCATAGAGGATGAATTACAGCTGCCATTAAAATTATGACTTTTTTGAAGTGGAAAAAATCCATTACTCAGTTACTAGTGCCAAATTAGCCCACGTTCATCTATACAACCGAGAATATTGTAAATCAATAGGACAATACCCTAATTCAGAATCAACTACCAACCTGCTATACAATTGACTACATTACAAACTCCTAAGGCATGAAGTACATAAACATTTGTCAATTATGAGCTAATATCTCCATGTCCCACATCAAACAACTTGTAGAGCTTGTGATTGGAGTATGTTGACACTTGACAGTACAGAGCGTCGATCTGACTTGTGTACTGGCAGCATCTTCCTATTCCCCTCCTACTACTACTCACATCCTCATATCACACTTCAAATATCTTTCTAAAATATGGATCAAAATAAAGATTGTCACCCCATAAAAATAATCAGATATATCAAAAGAAACCTAACTAAAATTTGGAGTTGCTGAAAGAAACCTCAGATCCTATAGAAGCTTGGAAGTTACCAAAAAGGTTCTACTTGAAGCTGTTTTTTGTGATCAGGGTTTGCTCACTGAAATACAGCAAAGCACTGTCCGCGCAGCAGAAGGCAGCAGCAGTGGCAGCTTCTTCTTGCCGCCGAACTTATCATATATATCCTATGAAGATAGCAGGAAAAGAAGTATAAAGCTTGAAATTCTTTCTGTGAAAAGCTCCTTTGTCATTATGTGAATTGCAATTTTTATTGAATATTACCCCTTTTGTATTATGGAGATAAATTTGCCATTCAACTGAACCTTCCTTCTATAGGGATTATTTTAATTGGAATTTTCTTCCATCACGGAGTAGTCCTTCTATTGCTTTGTAAATTTTTTTCTTAAGTTGGTCAGCAAGCTCTTTGCTGGCTCAATGCGATAAAAGTTTTTAAAAAAATTACCAGCATATTGCACCATTTTAATTGGAATTTTCTTCGATCATGGAGTAGTCCTTCACTTGCTTTGTAAAAAAATTTCTTAAGTTGATCAGCAAGCTCTTTGCTGGTATAGAAGTTTAAAAAAATTGCCAGCATATCCTAGAACTTTGACAGGCAATATATAATTATAATCGCAGTGTTTCTATGTAGCTTACCACATTGTTGATCACCACAATGACCTTGAACTGCAACCTCTTGATTTAGATTGCCAGAACTTTGACTGCAAAGCAAGAAATTTCATTCAGTGATCCATGCTTACTGGCAGAGTTCAATGCAATGTTCCCATACACTCCTTTTTTTTAGGAAATTTCCATATACATAATGGATTATTTACTTTATAAGTAGTTATTAATCCTTACTTGTCTGAAACTGTACAGACTGGAAAATCCAACCAATTATAGCATTCACATTACTCATCAGAAAGAGAGAACAGCATTGACCCAAGTAAACCTGCTCATAAAATTCACAAGAGATACAAAATGCTCAAACATCTGGCAAATCATATAGTTGATAGTACAATATTTGAAAACATTTTTTTCTGGCAAAAGTTTCGATTTCTATAGACGTTGATAAAACAATATTTCCAGTTCTTTGAATATACCCGAGGAGAGCCCGCTCATCCTACATAACTTGATACAACAATTCAGCACCAATAGATTTCAACTATCTCAACTCACGCCGCCACTTGGCTGGTCGGCGTCCACTCAACTCGACTCTACTGAACAAACTGGCACCACACACGAAAACAACTAAGCCGTCCCGGCCGAGACAAATTCCACAACAGCGCCTTCAAGAAGTAACGACGCCCAAGCGCCGCCGTCGCTCGTCAAGGCCGGACTGGTTTTCAAGTGTTGTGGAGCACTAAGTTCTTACTGCACTTGGTGCAAACCTCAATGTATTAGCAAGACTCCTATCTAGTCCAACATTATAAGATTGTTGCTTGAACAAAACTGAAACAAAAAAAGTTTTATATATCTCATTGGGATGACGTAGGCCTAATAGTCCTATACTCTTATATCATCACCACACTCTGTTGGCACCGTCCCATTTCCGGATTCCCAACCAGCACCCCGGAAGAAGGCCTCCTTTTCGCTCATTGCTATAGGATCATGGGGAAGCGTTAGAAGGCCGCCCCCAAGCATGAAACCCAACCACCGCCACAAAATGGCCACCATCGAGAAGAAGGAGCGGGAGAGAGGAGATGAACCTGACGGAGGTGTGGCAAGCCCCAACAGGAAGTGTGGCCTCCACGGCCCGCAATGCCGGGAAGACCACCCTGCGCACCGCAGGCTTGCCACCGCCACGGCCGCCACGCCACCACCGGCATCATGGAAGAATCACACCGCCTCGTTGGATTGCCCTTGAGAGCAAGACGCCGCCAGCGAACCACCAAGCGGCGATCCACCTGCCTTGACAAAACCGCCCGCGGTGCCGGCCGAACACCGGCGCGGTAGTCACTACCACCGCAGAGCACCAATCCGGCCCAGTGAAGGCGGATCCGACGCCAGAGCGCGCCAGATCCGATGGCGGAGCCGCATTACCGCCGCCCGCTATTGCGCCATTGTAAACGCCGGCGAGACCAAGACGGCGGCAGCAGCCTCCATCCCGCGCCCACTCCACCTCCGAAAGCACAGCAGCAAGCTGCAGCGCGCCTCCGCCACCTCGACTGCTTTGCATTGCCGCCATCGCCGGACCAGCGGAGCGGAGAGCTGCCGTAACAACACCACCACCACCACCACCACCCTACGGGCAGGCGCCACCGCACCCGACCTCGCGCACAAGCCACACCGCCCACCGCCACGGACACCACCGTCAAAGCGTCGACCGCTTATGCCATGGATGGGCGCGGCAGCACCATGGCAGCGATAACGCCGCCCGCGACGGCCACGAGGCCCACCGGCGTAGATCCGGCATGGGAGCTGCGGATCCACCCTCCACGGCGTCGGATCTGCCACCTCCGCCGAGGATGGGGTCGTCGCGCAGCCGCCGCCCGTTGCTGCAAGCTCTTTGGCGTCGTCGCCGCGCGCCCACCAAACGGACGGGAGGGGCGAAGAGCCCCGCCGCCACCCGTCATTGCGACTTCACGGCGAACT